CCACCAAAACCCCCCTAAAACTAGATTGAAAACCCCATTGAACCCCTCTGAAAACCCTAGTGCAACTGCATCAAAAATCAAATCAAAAACCCTAGTGCATCGGTTGCTGGTAAAGGAAAAAAATTAAATTTATGCAATGTATGATTAAATTGCTATTTTTTAAATTTTATTATTGAAAGTTAATTAAAATTAGTTGAAGTAGTTAGCTAAAATAAATAGCGTGGTTTGAGTGAATTTGAAAAATTAGTTAGCTAAAGTAGATAATATAATATTTAAATATATTTTGAGTAGCTATTTTGATGAACATTCTTGGAGTTGCTCTTATAGTAGTTATGAATTTCCCAACAACTTTACCAGCAACAGATGTATTGTAGTTGCTAGTATTTATGGGAGCTCCTCTCTAATATTATATCTTTTTTTGTAGATAACATTCTTGTATGAAAATATATTTTTTTACTTAACATTTTTTTTTGATTTTTCTAGTACAATACCGAAAATGTTTCATAATCGCAAATTTTGTGTTGATTTGTTTGTGTTGTTGATCATAACAAAAAAAAAAGTGTAACATAAAAGAAAAGAAAATCACACATGTTATTATTTTATTAAATTAAAAAAAAAAAGAGTTACAATATAAAAAATAACTTTCAGTGATATAGTTAGATCCTCTTTTTGCACACTTTCACGAAGGATCAAGAGAGAATTTGCATCGGAAAACAAAAATGAGAGCATCCAAAGAGCAGCATTAGAGAATACATTGTCTTTGATAAGGCTTGACTTGTGAAATTTCGTCTCAGACTTGGNGGGGGGGGGGGGGGGGGGGGGTTTGGTTCTGTCTCCTTTGCAATCATAAATCAATTCCAAAAATTTGGACCACCTTTAGGAAAAGTATTACCTATGCAAATCTAATGCAATTTGATTCTTTCTATATTGTGGATGGGGACCTAAATGCAATTCAAATATCACTCTTCATGTTAAAAATCATAATAGTTTTCAAACTTGTAGATGGTGATGATCAATAAATAGCCTTCAATTTGTAAAAATGGCTAAATATCAATTCAACTATTTATCTTCCCATTGGATTCTGATTGAAAGCTGTTACAAGTTTTGAGTTAGAAATTTGTTGGAGCAAATACGAATTGAATCGATAAATTTGGTATTTTTTTTAAAGACGATAATTGTTTTGCCATAAAAAACTCTTTTTTTGCGAAGGCAAAAATGATGGCACAAATACTTTGTCGTAAAAGCCTCCATTTTGCCATAGTGCTTTTTGGGAAATTTTATGTCTAAAATAAATTGTCACTAAAGTTTACAATCCAACAATCTTGTCTGTCTAACTATGTCAGTGTTCATATTAAACCGGTGCGAATAGATACTATATTTGGTGTAAAGTAATTTGTCTAATATTCATATATTAAATTGATGTGAATAGATACTACATTTGGTTTTAATCGAAAGAACGATAAATAGTAAAGTAATTCCTCTTATACTATTGCCGTAGGAAAAAAAAATAGCNTTGGTTTTAATCGAAAGAACGATAAATAGTAAAGTAATTCCTCTTATACTATTGCCATAGGGAAAAAAAATAACAATTTGACATGAATTTATAAGATATGATTTTAATCTTTATGGGTTCGAATAATAGTTAGGTTGACTTGTTGGACTCACCATGAATGATCAATGAATACAAGTGAATAATCATTGAATATCAATTTGATTATACATAAAAAAAAAAAAAAAAGATTATACATGACATCAACCCGACTTTATATTATTTGTACACAACACAAGTCTACCAAAAAGTTCATTTCTTATGGTTAGAGGTGAATAAAATTATACAAAACCATTTTCTTGTGTGTTTTTTATCAGAAAAAAAAGCTAATTACTTCTAATAAAATCCTTTCAATGCAAGAAAGTATCTCCGAAAAAAATTCATTTTATGCCAAAGAAAATTCTTAGGAAATTTAATTTCTTTTTATATCATTATCTGTTGAGCCAAATGAACTTTTTGGTAGCCGGAAATCTCTTGTATTGCTTATGAAAAAAATGACTGGTAATTACAAATTTTACAAGGGTTCTTCTTTTCCCTCGTTCTCTTAATATAGACCAGATCTATTATTGTATATAAAAAAATTTGGCAAACCAANGTAGCCGGAAATCTCTTGTATTGCTTATGAAAAAAATGACTGGTAATTACAAATTTTACAAGGGTTCTTCTTTTCCCTCGTCCTCTTAATATAGACCAGATCTATTATTGTATATAAAAAAATTTGGCAAACCTACACCTACATCTAGGGCATGCAATGCAATGAATCATATAAGAGTAATGTTATTTGAACTTAAAAATTTGACTTAATTTGCTGATATAATGGTGACTTCAGTAGAACTATTGAATTAACACCAATTTTCAATGTTTGATGGACCCTACAGTCAATTCAAATGTTATAGTAAATTAGGTCAGCAAATTAAGNAAGAGTAATGTTATTTGAACTTAAAAATTTGACTTAATTTGCTGATATAATGGTGATTTCAGTAGAACTATTGGATTAACACCAATTTTCAATGTTTGATGGACCCTACAGTCAATTCAAATGTTATAGTAAATTAGGTCAGCAAATTATGTCAATAAATTAGGTCTCAATAACATTGCTCATCGTATAATGGCAGATGTTTAAATCATATTTGTCATGTGACACCAAAACTGAACTAATATTTGCTTGGCCTATTTATTATGCCCATTTCCGGAGTCACACCGCCTATAACTCGAATCTGCTAAGACTATATTCACACTTGATAACTTAATGTCGGTTTTCATTGAATCAGTTGATTGTGTTAAGATTTGTAAAATCGTATTTAGTTCAAATTAGAATATCTAAGTTGTGTTAAAATTGATTGGGTCTCAACATACCATCCATTTAATAAGTAAAGTGATGTTTGATAAAACTGAAAGTTGAATATTAAAATTTAAATGTTAAATTTTAAGTGCTAAATATTGAATTTTTTAATTCGCAGACTGTTTGGTATCAACCGAAATTTAAGTATTGAATTTAATCAAATTATTTGACAAATATAAGGAGCTGAAGTTTAAAAATTATTATCATTCTACTTTTGCCCTTTTTTTTAACCATTTTTCCGCAAGTGCCTTATTTCTATTACTATCATCACAATGATGGTGGTAGTGGTGATGACGACGATGGTTGTGGTGGCGACAACACAATGATGGTGGTGGTGGTGGCAACGTTGACACAATGGTAATGGTGGCGACAACATTATGGTGGTGGTGGTAGCAATGACAATGGTAGTGGTAGTGGTGGCGGAGGCGGCGATGACAATGACGGTGGCGACTGCGACGACGGTGATGGTGGTGGTAACAGTAGCACAATGGTTGTGGTGGCGGCGATGGTGACATAATAATAGTGGTGGTGATGGCAACATAATGGTGATGGTGGTGGCAGTGACATAATAGTAGTGGTGGCAGTAACGATGGTGGTGGTGGTGGTGACAGTAGTGATAGTGGTTGTGGTGGCAATGGTAGCGGTAGTGATGTTAACAGTGGCACAATGGTGGTGGTGGTGATGATAACAACAACAATGGTGGGGGTGGTAGTAGTGTCACAATAATGGTGGTGGAGGTGATATAATGTTAGTGGTGGCGGCAACAGTAATGGTGGTGGTAGTGATGTTGGTGGTGACGGTGACACAATGGTGGTGGTGGTGACAGTGATGAAGGTGGTGACAGTGGCACAATAGTGGTGGTGGTGATAGTGGGGGGAGGGGGTAATAGTGATGGTGATGATGGCGGTGATACAATGGTGGTGGTGGTGTTAGTGTTGGTAGTGGTGACGATGACACAATGATGGTGATAGTATATTTGTCCATTATGAGAATTTAATAAAATTCTTACATCCTAACATTTTTAACATTAATTGATAGGTAGGTTATTTTCTACTTAAAATTTTAACCTATTTTTAAAAAGTGTTTAAAATATTAAGTAGTATAAATTTTAGGTTATCAAATGAGTTTAATTTATTAAGGGTTTAAAGAATTTAGTTTTAAACTTTAAGTGGTGCTATCAAAGAGTCCCTAAGTCTATAGATTAACTCGATTATGTTCCCCTTTCATTAACATTAGATTTATATACTAGCAATTTGACGAATTGTATAGAGAATTATAAAATCTTATGATTAGGTATCTTTTGTATGTGAAATTACCTTTATATAACAAATCAATAAATAGATTAGTGGATTGCTTATAATTCATTTGGTAACACATACAACAAAAATTAATAATCGATTACTCCAACTTATTAGAAAACTACCTCTACAAAATTACTTTGGAAAGAAAAAGAAGAAAAGTAGAAAAAGCAACCAAAAAGAAAAACAAGTTTTACCTTTACTCAAATAACCCGTTCCCGCCAAAATAAATTACAATAATGCTTTTGACTTTAAATGTCAATTAATAAAAGGTGTCAAAAATATAATAGGACCGTTAATACAATGTAAATACGACACATAATTAAAAATTTTGAATTTTTTAAGTCATTTATATTATAAATGAATGAATTTGACATAACACAATTAATAAATAAATAAATAAATTAAAAAATATATATAATTTATATACAACAATATTTACTATGCCTTACTCAATTAAGAATATTGGTGATGTGGTCTATGACGCAAATCCTCGATTAATAGGCCTGTCGATCAACACCGAAACTGAAGGGCAATTTTGTCAAGTAACTTGCGAAGACAATATGCATTAATCAAAGCGGCTGGCGCGAAAACAACGTCCTCTCCCTCCTCTGTCCATTCTGAACGACCCTCAACTGAATCTCTGTCTCTCTCTTTGTTAATATTATTTGTAGTTACAATTTAAATTTATTTATGCACATTTAATCACCATTATATCTATATAACTATACTTTTCTGTTGATTAGATATTGCTTTTCGATTCTTCTGCTATTCGGAACTTTCGGTGATGATTTATCGGCAGAAAACACATCTCCGACGACCGTCTGGCGATCAGTTTCATTGATTACCGGTTAGATACAAATTTCTACATTTAAAATCCCACTAATTGCTGATAATGTGTATGCATATTTGTTAGAAAATTGATGGGATGGGAGAAATTTTTGAATACTCCGTGATTTGATGAAGGTTATTGAGTTGTCTAGGGCTTTTAAGTCATTTATTTGACTAAAGTTTAGCAAAATTGAAACAATAATTGCCAGACGGTTTTTGTCGCTTTTATCTTTCTTTTCGGAATTTCTGTAATTTGTATGAAACTCTTGTAAAAAGCTCAAATCTCTCTCTCTCTCTCTCTCTATATATATATATGTGTGTGTGTGTGTGTGTCTGTGTTGAGTTTTTAAATGAATACTGAATACTGTCCATTATAATAGGAGCAAAATCTGTGAAATGCAGGCATTATTATTTTATGGATTGTTCTTGAAACCCCAGATCATTTTTAAAAAAAAAATTAGCTTTTTATTGATCTTCGTTATTAAATCTGTGAGAAAATGGAAATAATCAGTACCCGGATCCTATTTATATTGATTTGTTCGGATGACAATGTCAGAATTATATATGAACCGCATGTTTTTGTGTGTATACATTTGTGTATATGTGTATGTGATACTGTGAGTTCATGAGGATGCATGGCCATTGGACAATGATCTCCATCTGCACGTGGTCCTCCTCCTCTTCCATGTCTGTTCGCATAACTCTATAATTATGTATATTATTTGCACCTTAATTCTTTATTTGAAAATTCAACGTAAACTAATAAAATACCACCACACAAAATCCTTAACCATTCATAAACCTTTCTTTGAATTTCTTGGAATAACCAACGAAGAGCAATTAAACAACAACAACAAAAAGTGTGTCTGTGGATCATTTCAGAGAGACCCAGTAGATCGCAAGTTGACTATGTAATTTTTCCACCTCAGCTCAGGGGAAAAAGTTAGAGAGAGAGAGACTTCCTCTTCTATGGCCTTCATTGAATTCCCCTTTTATGAAAAGAAGTTGGGTGGAGGAAGAAGAAACAGGCCAGAGGGGCTGTTTTTGTATATGTATAGGTACACATCCAGCCCAGCCGACCAAGGCATTCCCGTGAGAGGGACTGAAGGTTAGGCACCAAAAAAAGGGGAAAAGAAAGAATCCCTCTCATCCTACGCATTCCTTTCACCTCTTATCCTACACCACCTTCCCAATTCTCTCTCTGGTCCTTCTCAATTTCTGAGGGAGAGCTAACCAATCCCTCCTTTTCTTGTTATTCTTCAAGGACCCTACACTGCAATTTGTTGTTGTCCTCCCCTGATGACTGTTAATATACATTTTAGCCCTCACCATGCTCTTCTCTGAATCAAAGATTAAGATGTTTCTCCATTTCCTGAGCATTCTTTGGAACTGCGTGAGTCTTATTTGGTTAGATTTAGGCTAGTTTGGACAACCAAGAAATACCCATTTCACTGTTGTGTTGTAACTCACAAATTCCTCTTCAGTCAAATCTGGGTGTCCACAAAAATGTATTCTTGTGATTGGATTTGCCTTTTTTCTTATGAGTTGTTCTTCTCTTTTTTTCATAGCTGTAACATCTCACTTTTAGTTATAAATTTTGTGACAGATTTATAGCAAAGGATTTTTTGAGCAATTGGTATTATATATTGAATGTGAGTTTCATGGAAGTCTGTTAAATGTGGTTAATTATATGAAAGGAGATATGCCTACATGGATGCATGTGGATCTGGACAAGCATTACAAAAGCACTCAGTAGTGGAGACCCCAAGGCCACCATTGGTTCGTGCTGATAAGAACGATGGTACCACCCGCCGGACTCGAACAAGGGAAGTTAGTTCTCGGTATAAGTCACCTTCTCCATCTCCCTCTGTATCTTTTGACTCTAGGCGTTGCCCTTCACCAAATATCACAAGAACAGGTACATCATCACCATCAGTACCAAAGAGAGCTATATCGGCGGAAAGGAAAAGGCCATCCACGCCACCCTCACCACCAAGTATATCCACTCCTGTCCACGACACAACTACAGGTGTGCAATTGGCATCCCGAAAGATGATTAGCAGTCGGTTGCCGGAGGTTTTATGGCCCACCACAATGCGTAGTCTCAGTGTTTCATTTCAGTCTGATACCTTTTCTCCTCCTATTAGTAGAAGAGAAAAACCAGTTACTAATGCTCTTTCAGATCGCACTTTGAGACTATCGTCCAATGTTGTGCAGAAACAGGGTGAAACACCACCTGTTTCACGAAAGCCTGCACCAGAGAGAAAGACGAGTCCTTTCAAAGGAAAGGATTCCACTGACCAGTTTGAGAATTCTAAACCAGTTGATGGTTTACATGCTCGATTAGTGGATCATCATAGATGGCCAAACAGAACAAGTGGGAAGGTATCTTACATTGGTCTGAACAAAAGCATGGATCTCACCGATAAGACAAGTAAAACTTCAACTTTACCGCATCCTGGAATGGGGATACCATCCCTGAGGAGAAGGTCCTTGGATGGTATGACTAAACCTTTACAAAAGCCTGCCAGTGATGCGGCGAGATTATTATTGTCATTCGATGAAAGTGGAAGTATAGATTTTGAAAGGCGTTCAGTTGATGATAATGCATTGAGGGGCCAAAAGCCGCCTGTTTCTTCAATTTTCTCTGGAAGAACAGCATCAGTGACTCCTGCAATTCGATCTCAAATTTTGACTAGTTCTGGATCAGGCGCTTCATCTCCAATTAGGACATCAGTGATATCATCCTCTGTTTCTAGAGGTGTCAGTCCAGCTCGAGCAAGGGCCTTACATCCTGCTCCGTCTAGCAGAGGGCCCAGTCCATCTCGGATAAGACCATCCAGTCCTTCAAAGCAATCCAACAGTTCAACTTCTGTCCTCAGTTTTTTTGTCGATATTAGAAAAGGAAAGAAGGCCGCAAATCACATAGAAGATGTTCATCAACTACGGCTGCTGTACAATAGACATTTGCAATGGCGAATTGCTAATGCCCAAGCAGATGATGCACTGAATTTTCAGAAAACAACAGCAGAGGTTCGGAGCATTAATTTTATGGAACTTTATACATCTGTTGTATAAATTATTCAGTTTATCTTTCTTGTTACCTGTATTTTGTTGTGCCTAGTTTGTATGGTAACTAAAAAATTTTGTTGCCTTCTCTTGAATCCACAGATTGCTACATTGAAAAAGAATAATAATAATAGTAACCATAATAGTACCAGAAATAATAGCAATATAATAGTAACAATGATAATGACTGGAGAAAAATAGAGTATTTTAAGTAAGCTGTGTTAAGCCCCAGTGCACATGCTAAATATATTTTGTCAATTTCTCCCCCACCAATTATGCTTCTTTCATTTTACGTCACTTGTAGTTAATTTCTGCTATGCATTTGTTTGAATCTTTGATGTTTTATACTATATATAGCCTGTAATGTTGCCAAATATCGAAACTGCATTGTTTACAGTCTTCACTGCTTTTATTGTATACTGTGCCATTTTGCCTTCTATGGAACTTAACATAGATCTCTGCAGTATTACATTGTAGTTTTCTGGTGCTTGTTTCAATCAATGATTTAATGACGCAGAAAAAATTATACGATGTGCGGAGAACCACTTCAGAACTGTGGAATTCAGTTACCAAGAAGAGGGTCAACCTCCAACTGCTGAGGCTTAAGCTGAAGCTGTACTCAGTTTTGAACAAACAAGTATGTATCTTCCTTTGTATATAATTCCTATTTTAACTTATTTATTGAGTTTGCATTAAGACATCAAGAAATTTTCAATATTGAAATGCATGGATTAATTTTGAACACAGGATGGTAAGGAGTTAATGAGCCTTGCCATCTGCTCGTCATATGCAGAACTACAATGTCTCCAATCAATACCAGTTTAATCTACTCTTTCATGCTAATGCGAGATTTATGAAATATTTTTTGGCAACCAAATGGAATGAGAAAGAAATAGTCATCAGTTATTGGGCGGGCTAGATGACCTGCCCTAGATAATTTAGTTGCTGTTCGTTATAGGCCTCGCATAAGTTATTATTGGGTAGAAATCATGTTTGCTATCTAATAACAGGAAAATGGAGAGCCACTTTATAGGACTCTTCTCATTAATTTGGGAGCATGGATAGCCAGTTTATTTTAACCACTTTAAATTTCCTTCATATACAACTAGCATTTCATGCAGATGCTATTACTGCTCTAGTCCTTCATATAGGGAGATACACTTATATGGTAGGGGCTTCTACATTGACATCTAATAAGCTCTAGAGATATGAAATTGTTTGCAATTTGTATCACAAGCCTGTGAAATTCAGTATGTGGTAAAAAAAAACCAGAATAAACAATAGGATCATGCATTTATCAACTACGGGCTGCATTATATAGGAATTAAATCATGGTCAAAGTATCTTAGACCAAAAAATATCTTTGCTGTCAAATAAACACAATTTGCTACTTAAGCAAACCCCACATTCCTGGTCTTGTTTTGTCATTTCACTTGTCTTTTACATTTCTTTCCAAGAGTTAAATGCTTTGTTTTTGTAGCATGCAAATTGGAACTTGAGAAATAGGCTTGATGGAGATATGCTTATAGAATGTGCAATTGTGGTTCTGTGATTTTCATTTTCAGTGTTTTTAAACACCAACCTATGCTTTTTTTTTTCTTTCACAGTATAAATATCATTATTTGATTGATGCAATGTTCCATAATGCTTGCATGTAAAATATGACTGGTTCAGATGGCCTACCTTGATGAGTGGGCATCGATTGAAAGGGATCATACTAGTTCTTTATCTCGAGCTATCGAAGATCTACAGGCAAACACTATCCGTCTTCCAGTCAATGGAGGGACCAGGGTATGACACTTAAAGACTAGTGATTGGGGCTAATTTTTAGAAAGGGCAATATTTGAGGGTGAATAATATCTTTAATTTGACAGGCAGATATTGAAGCTGTGAAAGCAGCTGTTTGCTCAGCTGTTGATGTGATGCAGACAATGGGATCGTCCACATGTTCTATACTCTCACAAGTGAGAGTTATTTATTTTCATTTCTATTTAATCTAGTCTTTCCTTTGTCAACTTGACGAGTATGATGCCATGTTGACCTCAGGACATGCATTGTTCTATGCCAACGATTAACCTGCTGATACAGCAATATCAAGTACATTCTTCTATCCTAGTGTTTTGTGCTTCACAAACCAGCACCCCAAACACACGGTGGTTGGCTTTTCATATGTAGCCAATTCACCCTCACTTCCCAGGGTACTTACACAACGTCCAATTGCACAGTGTTGTGACTCTAGTTGTGCTCTATTTATACTTCTTGTTTACATGTTTTTGCACACCCTCGACACATTTTCTCTCTGCATCTTTTACCTATAGATAAGAAAAATCAATTGACTCCAATTTTAGTTTCCCATAGTAAAATATTCCTAACAAATATTTGCTCGCTAAAAAATGATTTCTTAATATAAAAGAATTTATTAGATTTTTATATAAAAAACATATAGTAATAGCACTAGTTCGATTAAAAAAAAAAAACTTTTTCCTTATTAATCCAGGTTGTTAACAAGTAAACTGCCTGTGAATTTAACCTCTTGCTTTAGTTGGAGCAGTGATGTCCAACGAACCCAACCCCATTCTCACCAATGAACCAAGGATATCAATATTAATGAGCGAATGTTTGTCTGGCCCTTTTAAATCTTCATTCACCCATATTCGTTGGTGCATCTGCCAATTCTCTTCTCTTTTGATAGACAATAATTGGCTGAGGCAGACTTCACCGTTCTTTATCAAGTAAAGTGAGAGTGATTCTCGCTTTTCTCTGAGTATCATTGTCTTTGTCCAAAGCACAAATATGTCATATTAGGAATTCTGATGAAATCATAAATGGAGAACTCCATTTGGCCATGACAGGGGTCTCAACTCAGTATTTTTTTTTGGTGGGGTGAAGTTGGATTATAATTTAGATACAGGATTAAAGCTAACCAGAATCTCCATCTCAAACTCAAATTAAAATTCTATTCATATGCTACTGAGAATCAACAAATTGATAATAGATAAATGGTTCGCACCAGGGGGAGATTAGCCATTTTCCTAGTACCTTTAACAACATCAACAATCTTCCGCAAGATTTTGAAGTCATAATATTGCTCTTTGTTTCTTGTTTGGTTCTTTCCTGGTTCACATCGTTTTGCTGAAGGAAACATGCATGGGCTTGAATTCTTCTTATCTTCATTGTTTCTTGCTTGGTTCATGGTGTTCTGCTGAAGTAGGCATGCATAAAGATTTTAGTATTCTTCATTTCTTCTTATCTTCATTTCTCTTTCCTTTTTTGTCTCTGTGGTGATGAAAACATTATGTATTTTACCATAAGGTTCCCAGCTAGATCGAGTTGTTTGGCCTTCTCCTAAGCTCTCATGTTCTCTCAATTGAATATTGGCATGTACCCAGGCCCAAATATTCATTTCCACATCCATTGCATGCAAGTTGTAATGCAATTGCTGAGCCCTGCCTAATCTTATGTGTTTTACAGGTGGAAGGGATGAACTGCTTGGTTTCCGAACTTGCTGATGTAGCAGCACAAGAGAGATCCATGCTTGATGAATGTGAGACTCTTTTGGCTTCTACAACAGCTATGCAGGTGAGAATAAAGTTTTGTGGTTGCAATTCCTTTTTGTTCTTCATATTGTCTTTGGAATATGTCTTACTCGTAAAGCAAAACATAATTAGGAATATCAGCCATGAATACATTATCTCACAAATTATGTGTGGAGGTCATTGGGTTAGCGCACAGCTCTAATCATGTATAAGCATGAAAGGTACAATGAATCGCATGACTGCTGAATTTATGATATTTGCAATTTGAGATTTTCTGGCAATCATACCTTACTGATCCAGATAATAATTTAACATTTTCTGGTCAAAGATATGAATGAAAAAAACTATTTTTTCATATCTTTCATGTTTCCATGGTCGACCCAGTCTCAATTCAGTGCTCTAGTAGTCGAGCTTTATGTCCCTGCGATTCCACTTACCTCAGGCACTATACACTACATAGATGAATCCTGTTTATTTTTGTTTCTGATAAGCCTGTTCAAAACCATTGTGTTTATTTTTCCTTGCTGGGCTGGCATCAATTCAGTATTCTGGCAGTTGAGTTATATGCCTTCTTCCCATGCAATAGTCTTGTTAGATGAGAATTTGAACTTGGCTGGGCTGATTTGCTTAACACTATGAAACACACATTACAATCTCTTTCAATCTTCATGGTTTTTTGTTCTTTTTTTGATTATTTTTTCTTTATCACCTGCAAATAGTCAGTTTGGAAATGGAAAGGTTTCAGAAGCATTTCGGTAAACAACATTAAAATATTAAGAAATGTCAAATTTTATTTTTGACACGTTTCGAAATATTAGTCGAAACATCTCGAAACAAACCAAAACATAGAAATTTCAGTATTCTGTCATTTGATTCGTATTTTGGTCGTTTAGGTGGAAATGAATCGAAATTTTGATCTTAGTCACCAGTGTCTTGGCTTCAAAGAAGATTCATCTCTCTAGAAAAATATTTGTGTTCCAAAAATGAAGCTTTGCAATGGAATTTATTACATGAATTCCTGGCTTTTATGCATGTTTTCCTTGTGCATTTTCATTAGATATTTCGAAGTATCTGGTAGAGGCACAATATGCTTAGTTTGCTTACTGTTGATTTGATACAGGTTGAGGAATGCAGCCTTCAGACCCATGTCATACAGTTGAAACCAGCTCGGAAGAATGGTGAACTGACAATTTTTAGCAATTAAAACACTTCATTGCCTAACAGATGCTACACAACAACCTTAAGAATTCCCTCAGTAGCTGCCTTCTCAAATTCTCAGTGAGTGTGTATTGTTCTTTTTTCCTTATTGTTTTTCTTCTTCTTAACACTGGTGGGAATTTGTAATTTACTGATTCCTTTTTTTCCTACTCCCCTTTCACTGGCAGAGCAGCTGGCTCCATCCTCAGCATGTGTAGTTTTTTGAATTGTGAACGAAAAAGAAATGGAAAAGGAAGAAATCATTAGAATTCAATGGAATTCAGTTCTCTTTGTTTGTCAGCGGAATCTAGTTTTATGTAAGAATCGTGTTGTTTGAACTTAATTTACTGACCTAATGTCCACAAACAAATCTCAGTTTGACTGTCAGGCCTGTATCACCCCCACATATCTCACAGACTTCACAAGTTAAATCCTTCAAAGGGCCAGCAGAGCATATCAGTCTGGAAGTCCCAATTTTATCTAAAACTTGGGACACAAAAACTGTTGGGTATAGGACCAGCAGTTTTGTAGCATTTATTTCATATGGATAAATAATTTAGCATTCTCTAAGTAATCTTTTTTTTAAAAAAAAAAATCCGTCCAGTGCCTGGCACAGCTAAGGGGGCCTTCCTTTTATAGGGCTGTTGTTTTTTTTGGAAGACCCTTGGTCTCTCTTCATTGTCTACAGGTTCCAGACCTTTCTTCAACATAGGTGACAATGAGCAAGGCAGAGCTGGCACAGATTTAACACGGGAATAAGAAGCAAGTTCGCTTCCATTTTTGATCATCTTAATAGAAGGGATGAAGAAAGTGGACAAAATAGACTCATATTTTTCGGTTGAAAAGATGGTTCCTTTTTAGCCTCGAATTTCTCATTAAACAAAAACAGGAAAAGAATTCTAAAAATGTTCATAACACAACCCCTTCCTTAGTAGAGTCGTGTATTGTAAGTGATTTAAACTTGCCCAGAACGAGCCCCCATAGAGGCAAGTAAAGTTGGTGAGCGGTATAATAGGCAATTACATCTTGCAGCCCAGGGAGGACTCATTTGTTAGTTGATACCCCCTTTGTTTTGGGGCTGTTAGTAGTACCCCTTTGTTTCAGGGTGGACCCTTTCACTCTATTTTATTATACTAGTAGTGCACCACGTGCGTTATACGTAAATTTTTTTGTTGAAACATTTGATGAAATACATAAAAAAATCTAATTATATAGTTAAATTAAATATTATCTCATATTTATCATACTTAAATTATTAGTATTCTTTTCCTAATTATAAATATCCAATAGACTTATTTTCTTTGATTCTTTCATTCGAGCTAATAAGTAGTAAGGATTATAAATTTTTATTTTCTTTATTTTTTTTGTCTTTCTTGTTTTTTCTTTGTACCTCAATAGTTTTTACCAAATTATTTTTATTGTGAATGAAGAAAAAAAGTATAAATAGCCATTTTTTGGCGTTGGAGATGATATTGTATTAATAAAGTTGTCGACATATATTAATATTGGGATTTTAAAAAAAAATAATATCTTTTTTTAGATATCATGTTAAGTATAACATGACTATTCAAAAATTTTGCAAAGATAGAGAGATTTATATGATTTGTTAGAGATTAGTTTGTTATTTAAAAACATAGAGATATAATAGTAATTTGTATATTTAAATACAAAAGGATATGTTAGCCATTATAGTTTTTTATAAGGGTAAAATAGTGAATCAAAAATTTTTCATACTAAGGTACTTTTATTACTTGTATAGATAAAAGAATATTTTTTTGATACACCTAGGACATGAATTCTAAATAAACCAATGGGTCGTGACAAGTCGTTATTATTAGCAATGACTTCCTCTTTCATTACTTCATTCTTTCTGTATAGTTATATTTTGGGGCGTAACATTGTGGTTATTTCCTTGACTGACCAAGAAAAACAAGTTCAAGAAGCATCATCCATTCATCTCGATTTGGGTTTTTCTACACCATATTTTGATTGCCTTTTCTTTTATCCGAAATTCCTAGCAAATCCTTGACTCCTCGAATACAATGGGATTTCACAACTGACGAAACCATAGAATGTTTATGTGAATTATGATTTTTGCCTGGAATGTGAGCAAATATATCATATCGATTGCTTAATTGTACTTTGGCTATCTTATGTGGACTTGAATTAGATTTTTTTGGTTTTCTTGTTGGAACACTCGGGCATAGTCCTTGCTTTTTGGGACATTGATCCGAAGCTCGAGTGCGGTCCGTATGCCATTTTTTTCCTCTACAATGACGAATCAATTGATTTAATATAGGCATCACTCTTTCTTTTGTCCTTCCCTTGATTTTTTGCCTATCACTAGTGGTTACTCTCCGATCCGAAGCACCCATTTTACAGTCATAGAGAAATTCAATTGTCAAAATCAGTAAAAAGGCCATCACAAAAACAGATCAATCTTGTTGGGAGGTATTGCCCAAATAAAGGAAAAGGTGACTTCCGGATCAGAAATAATAAATAAAATTAAAACAAGATAAAATATTATATCAAAACGACTTCTAGCATCACCGGAAGGATTGAAACCACATTTGTAGGCCGACAATTTTTCTAGATAGGTCGAAGTATTGGAAGCAAATGGAAAAGGATCACCGAGTGGAATTCAGTTACTGAGAACAGTATCAACCTCCAACTGCTGAGGCTTAAGCTGAAGCTGTACTCAGTTTTGAACAAACAAGTAATGCATCTTCCTTTGTATATAATTCCTATTTTAACTTATTTATTGAGTTTGCATTAAGACATCAAGAAATTTTCAATACTGAAATGCATGGATTACTTTTAAACAGAGGATGGTAAGAAGTTAATAAGACTTGCCATCCGCTTGTCATATACGGAAACTATGATGTCTCCAAACATGGACGGAGTCGGGAATTTATTTCAATGCATAGTTGACAACTTTATACTTGGATAAAAACATTTAATCAAGAATTAATAAAATAATCTATTGCTAAATATACTGAATAAACCAACGCATTTTTAAAACTAAAAAAAAGTCAAAATTGGAATTTTTTTTTTAACAATAAGAATTAATTATATTTACCCGTTAATCCAGTGAGCAAAATATAGCAACTAAATATGTTTTAGCCTAACTAGTGAATGTTTCTTCTGTGCAAGATTGAAGAATGTGTTGGAGTTATGGACAATGGGCCTTATTTTTTAGAGGGTTGGGGCTTATGGTGGTGAAAGAAGAATGGCAAGAAATTGGAAAAGTGTCAAGTTTTTTCATTGTCTTTCCATTCACCAAGGACGTATTTTTTTTAATGGGATCTAAATTTGGAAGAGTAATACTATTAAAAAATAATTAATTTGTTGACATAATGATGTATCAAGTGATGGAACTCCAATGAAAAAGTCTAAGAATTATAGTCAGAAAAACACTATTGGAAGTAATTTAACAAATTAAGTTAATTTTTTAGGTCCCAATAACTTTGCTCATTCTGAAACTCACCACACAGATGTGATGAATAAAAAGAAAATCTGCATGCAGTCTTAGCTCAAACCTAGGCTGTCAACATTTGCACATACAAATAATTTAGGAACTGAATATATAATGATTGTTCAAACAATTTCACAAGGTAGATCCTCTCCAAAGACTTGTCAGAATTTGAAGTTGAATGTGTGATTGTGATATTTATAGAGGAGACGTTAAGACGTTAAGGTAGATCAATATTTAGGACACTTTGGGAAAATCCTAGTTTGCACCCTAAAAGATACAATTTTTTTTCATTTTGCCCCCTAAAAGACATTAAAAGGTTGCAATGTAGTCAATCGTCATTTTTTCGTTTGTCATCCGTTTGATTTTGTTATAACGTGCTTCGCATGTGATAATAGGAGGGGTTGTACTTTTAAATACTTGTTAGTAAAAACCCTTGTCTTCGTCTACCCAAGTGATTTGGGGAATGTACTGAGAGAGAGGGAAAAAAACAAAAGAGAGAGAGATTTGCCCAGATTTGGGGAAAAAGATTTAGGGTTTTACTGTCTGTCTGTTGCCTGGGCTAGGTTGAGAACCTTAAAGATTCAGAAGATGTTGTGGTTATTGAGGGAATCAATCAACGATTCACGGCCTTGTTGCGATGCGCCATGCTATGATACATTTAACATGTTATGGTTGACTGTGTTGACATCTATGGTTGTCTAATTTTTATTTGGTTTATGGGTGAATATACAATTGTTTTGTGGATATAACATTTGTCTTTATTCACTGTGTGGTTCATTGTGGGTTTATAGTTACTCTATGTTGGGACCACTTGGGATAATTTTTTATGGGGGTTGGGTGTGTAAGTGTAACATGTGATTAACTGTGTGTTGACAACTAAGGTTGTTTGATTTTTGTCTGGTTTATGGGTGAATATACAATTGTTTTGTGGTTATGGTGTTTGTCTTTGTTCACCATGGGGTTCATTGTGGGTTTATAGTTAGTCTGTGTTGAGACCACTTGGGACAATTTTTTATGGGGGGTTATGTGTGTAAGTGTAACATGTGATAGTTTTGTTTATGCTTTTTTGTTTGTTTGTTGTAAGTTGACTTTTTACTTTATACTTAAGTAATGGTTGTTTTGATTTTTTAACATTGTGGGGTAGATGGAATAATGTGTGCTTTGTCTGCCACTTGCTTGTGGCTGTATATGCAAATAATATTTGTGGATATTTTACTATCCGATTGCATCATGGTGGTAGATTGGGCAACAAGGGCAAGAAACCATATATTGGCGGGAAGATAAATAACATAGATATGTGTGATGCTGACCATCTTTCTTCGATTGAGTTGGAGAATATGTTGAAGGCTACGGAATTGGGATACTCTGAGCTGAGTAGATTCCACCATATAACTATTGATGGATGGAAAGTGTTAGAAAATGACAGATAGACCTTGGAAATGATTAACTATGTTGATAGCGACAGAGTCATTGATGTTTATGTTGAGCACATCAATCCAAATGTGTTTATCCACAATCAAATTGATTCAAATGCAGGTGGTTTGGTGGAAAATCAAAAGGAAAATCAAAAATCTAAAAGTTCTAATGATAGTGGCTCGTACTCAAACGGAGAGTCCTCAAAGTATGAATACTTTTATGATAGTGAGTATGACATGCATGATGATGAATTGTATGATACTTTTGTGGATCATGATGCTGAATTTGTTGTTGTTAACAAAGGGAAAAGAATGAAGGAAGACAAAGGAGTTGCCAAAGGGAGAAAAATGGAGAAAGGCAAAGGAGTTTCCAAAGGGGAAGGTGTTGGTTTTTAAGGTGACAGGGGCACAATTCTGCAAGACAATAATGATTTTTATGGTGAAGAATATGACACAGATGAGTTGATCAGTCTTAGTGGATCATCATCAGAGGGTGAG